AGAAAGGTTGTTAAGTGGAAATTCTGTGTATTACAAAGTTGTATCGAGAAAGAATAAACTAGTTGTAATTAAGAAAGGACTTGTATCGCTAAAGTTCCTCTGAAAGAATTTATACCAGAAATTAACAAATGACCAGATACGTAACACTATATTTCATGCAAAATTGCTTTCAGATTTAATCTAATAGCACCTAGTTTTTACAAATTTTTTGGGGGACATGCCCCCCCCCCCATATCTGCCCATAGCATTAAAATGCTTATAAATGCTGATTATGCCCTGCACAATGTGTGTATTGCCTTTTGAGCTCAGAAATTTGATCCCTCCCCCTTTCAAACATTCTGCATATGGGCCTGTAAATTAATATCATGTTCCACATCTGATGGTTTAAACCTTATTCTTTAGTAGAGCCTAAATTAATATCCTGTTCAATAGGTGAAAGTTTAAACTGTAGCCTAATTATTCCTAACCTAATTGTTTAGTAGGTTCTAAATTAACATTCTGTACAAGAAATGAAGGTTTAAACCTCAATCTAATTATTTCTAATCTTTTTAAATAGTATGTTTTAAATTAATATTCTGTCCAACAACTAAAGGTTTAAACTTGAATCTAATTATTCCTTACCCTATTGAGTAGTACATTCTCAATTAATATTCTCTACAACAGCCAGAAGCTCTTAGCCTTAACCTACATATTCATAACTTTATTGGCTATTAGGTTTTTAGAATCCTGTCAAACAGCTGAACACTTTAATTCTTAACATAATTAGTCCTAACTGTATTTACCAATAGGTTCTAAATTAACATCCCATTCTACAGTTGAAGGCCCCTGCAGACAAGGAAGCTCCCAGTGTGGACCAAACAGTAAGTGTGTGGAAGAAGGAGATAACTTTCGGTGTGTCTGTGAACAAGGATATGAATATCTGTATGAAGATGATGTGAATGGTGAAAAAGCAACATGTTTAGGTAAGAATCAAACTTCTGAAAACTTTAACAAACTTTATGTTTGTTGGGTTATTTAATGTTTTATTTATGCTGATGAAATCATCTACACTTGGAATGTCAACCACCACTTTTATACTAATGTTTTCTGATACAAATCAATGTGCTTTTGGAAGGACGGACTGTTACTTCTACTTCTTGAAGGAACAGATATCATTTCTACATTAATGTTTTAATTTATTAATTAATTTATTTATGGAAGGACTAACTGACATTAATGTTTTCAGATACAGATAAATGTACTTCTGGAA